TGCTTGGCTTAAAATGTGTTCCCTCCCTCCTTTGCTCCCCCTTTTCCCCCTTGTCTTGGCTTGTCTTGGCTGAAACGGTGCTTCAAAGTGAAAAAACAATTTCAAACGTGCTTTTAAAACTGTTCCCTGCCTCCCCCCTGTCCTTTCCTGAATTTTTCTTGACCTAAGAAAATGGTTTAAAAATATCCCCCTCTAGTGGTAGAATGCAGAATAGCAGCTTCCTATTAGTTTCTATGGACGGAAAAAAGCAGATACGGATTAAATGGTTTTCAATGCATTCCTATGGGAAATGCAGATTCGACCTGCGAACTTTTCGACCTGCGGACCGCCTTCCAATACGGATTAATTACTTAAGTTTAGACCCCACTGTATACAAAAATAACTGGGATATGGACTGTGTGCAAACTGGGATGAATACATTTGTATCTTATAGTGAAGTTATGCAAATTAATTGACTTACAGAGGTTTATCTAAACTAGGGAGTTTGCAAATGATTTTGGATTACTAGAAAGATAATACACTGATGGGAGAAGAAAAAAATTTAAGTCCAATGAAGGATTAAAGCAACAGGGACAAAATTGTAATCAGAGCACAAACTACACAGTCCTTTTTATTTTTATGGCCATCTTTATAACTTATCATTCTCTCCCATTTCCTCAATTATCTGTTGAGGAAATACTCAGAAGGGCAGAAGTTCACAATCAACTTGTAGTTATAGATCTGGTACAAATTTTAACACTGGCTACTACCCACAGTAAAATCAGGATCCAATTTCAGAAATTCAGACATACTCCCCTTCTCATAGCAAGCTTTCCACAGCACATACCAAGCAAGCTTGAAGTCTCTCAGTACTGTATAGTCACCCAATACAGAGGGAAGATTAAAACAGGGTACCTCTTAACCAGGACTTCAAAACACTGCAAACAAGGTCTCAAGATCCAGGCTGCACAGGAACACTGAAAGGGATGTACTCAAGGTTTGGAAACTACTGTCACCTTTTCACAACCTTGATATCGTTAGAGAAGAGAGACACTATTGACCCTGCTGCAATTCTGTTAACTATCAAGGGCAGTGGACAAACATTTCCACTGAAACAGAAGATCAGCATCTCCTAAAGAACAGAATGGCAGTCATTTATTTACTAACAGTGAAAACATGGGAGGCGGTGCTAAAAACTCTCCCCAGTGTGTAGTGGTCTGTCATTAAAAGTTTAGCCTTTTGCCATCCGCATCATTCCAGCCAGGGCTGGTTCTTCACCAAATTAGAAACAAACACAATAGAATGCTATATACTGGTTTTATAGTTGCACAGTTATAGGTGCTACCAGCTTCTATCTTCTCCTCCCAAATACCATATGAAAGGCAAAATGAGCTAGAATCTTTATACAATTGTGGAGGTAAAATTTTGAAGGCAGAATTATTTATTCAGTATCACATGGGGGTGTGCGGTAATCCTTTTGTGGCAGAAATATTTCTTCATTCAAAACACATAGGGGGCAATTCTTCCACTGACCCTCATTGTCCTCTCATAATCTAGTTTGGAGCACTGGGGAACCTTGGGAACTGATATTCAGGCAACGGTGGAAAGTGCAGAAAAACTCCAATAGTACACTGATTTCACACACCCAGGTTTTTTGTTTGTCTGTTGAAACCATACATGCTATTACATAATCTCTGGTCTCCACTTCATCCTACCCTAAATTAAAGATAGCCCAAATAAAAAATGATAGAATGATTTTAATATGAATCCAAGGCAGACCTTTCAACATCACAATAATCCAAGTTTATGCACCAACCACCAATGCTGAGGAGACTGGAATTGACCAATTCTATGAAGATTTACAACACCTTCTAGAACTAAGACCAAAGAAAGTTGTTCTCATTCTAAGGGATTGGAATGCTAAAGTAGGGAGTCAAGAGATAAAAGGAACAACAGGTAGGTTTGGCCTTGGAGTTCAAAATGAAGCAGGGCAAAGGCTAACAAAGTTTTGTCAAGCGAACAAGCTGATCATTACAAACACTCTTTTTCAACAACACAAGAGGTGACTCTACACATGGAAATCACCAGATGGGCAATACCAAAATCAGATTGATTATATTCTCTGCAGCCAATGATGGAGAAACTCTATACAGTCAGCAAAAACAAGACAAATAGTAGAGAAGAGAAGAGAAACAAAATGCAAAGGAGATAGGGAAACTTACAGAAAATTGAATGCAGACTTCCAAAGAATAGCAAGGAGAGACAATAGAGCCTTCTTAAATGAACAGTGCAAAGAAACAGAGGAAAATATTAGAAATGGAAAAACCAGAGATTTGTTCAGGAAAATCGGAGATATTAAAGGAACATTTTGTGCAAAGATAAACATGATAAAGGACAAAAATAGGAGGGACCTAACAGAAGCAGAAGACATCAAGAAGAGGTGGCAAGAATACACAGAGGAATTATACCAGAAAGATTTGGATGTCCCTGACCTTGAGCCAGACATCTTGGAGAGTGAAGTCAAGTGGACCTTGAAAAGCTTGTCTAACAACAAGGCCAGTGGAGGTGATGGCATTCCAGTGGAACTATTTAAAATCTTAAAAGATGACAATGTTAAGGTGCTACATTCAATATTCCAGCAAGTCTGGAAAACTCTGGAGTGGCCAGAAGACTGGAAAAGATCAGTCTACATCCCAATCCCAAAGAAGGGCAGTGCCAAAGAATGCTCCAACTACCATACAATTGCACTCATTTCACACGCTAGCAAGGTGATGCTCAGAATCCTACAAGGTAGGCTTCAGCAGTATATGGACTGAGAACTCCCAGAAGTACAAGCTGGATTTCGAAGGGGCAGAGGAACTAGAGACCAAATTGCTAATGTGCACTGGATTATGGAGAAAGCCAGAGAGTTCCAGAAAAACATCTACTTCTGCTTCATTGATTATGCAAAAGCCTTTGACTGTGTGGACCACAGCAAACTATGGCAAGTCCTTAAAGAAATGGGAGTGCCTGATCACCTTATCTATCTCCTGAGAAACTTATACAAGGGACAGGAAGCAACAGTTAGAACTGGATATGGAACAATTGATTGGTTCAAAATGGGGAAAGGAGTACAACAAGGCTGTATATTGTTCCCTGGCTTATTTAACTTATATGCAGAATACATCATGCGAAAGGCAGGACTGGAGGAATCCCGAGCCGGAATTAAGATTTCCGTAAGAAATATCAACAACCTCAGATATGCAGATGATACCACTCTGATGGCAGAAAGTGTGGAAGACTTGCCAACCGAAGTCTGAATAGTCAAAGCTGTGGTTTTTCCTCTAGTGAGAGCTAGACCATAAAGAAAGCTGACTGCTGCAGAATTGATGCTTTTGAATTGTGGTGCTGGAGGAGGGTCTTTGAGAGTCCCCTGGACTGCAAGGAGATCAAACCTATCCATTCTAAAGGAAATCAACCCTGAGTGCTCACTGGAAGGACAGATCCTGAAGCTGAGGCTCCAATATGTACTTTGGCCGTCTCGTGAGAAGAGAAGACTCCCTGGAAAAGACCCTGATGTTGGGAAAGTGTTAAGGCAGGAGGAGAGGACGACATGCTTGGACAGTGTCATTGAAGCGACCAACATGAATTTGACCCAACTCCAGGAGGCAGTGGAAAACAGGAGGGCCTGGCGTGCTCTGGTCCATGGGGTCATGAAGAGTCGGACACGACTAAACAACAACAACAAAATTAAAGAGTAGCTAGAAAGAATAGGGGAAGGACTGATTCCACAGAAGTTACATTTCTGATAACTTCCTATTGTGCTGCCTACCTAGAACTTTGAATAACTGCATAATCCACATGATGGTGCCAGGAACCTTCATAAAGAGTTGCTTGAACTGAAAAGTGGCTTTGGAACAGGAGAATGTGACAAAGATTGATTCCAGTTGTCCAGTGGTATCCACCATTGTTCAAATGGTGGATACAGAACTTCTCAACAAATTCGAGTTGAGCTGCAGACACAGGGTACAATAGTGTCAACTCGCACTGTTACCATCTGAATGAAAAGGGACGCTATGGTCGGAGACCTAGGAGGACACCACTGCTAACACAAAGGCATAAAAAAGTACAATTGGAGCATGCCAAAACCTATGTGACAAAACCACAATCCTTCTGGGAGAACCGACTATGGACAGATGATATTTTCGGCCATGAATGTAAATCTACAAAAAAAGAGTGTGTGTTGTCTGTGTTCCAGAGGAAAACATCAAGACCATGAATCATAGATACTTGGAACTTAGCATGAATACTGAAGGGGCACTAATGAAGTCCATGCATCTTTTAACTTGGTTATGTAAAGTAATAAATTGTAATAAATTATTTTTAGTATATTTAAATAAGTGTCTGTGTTCCATATCTGCAGAATCATGTTCAATACGTAGGTGGCAGACTTTCTAACTAGTGCATAATTTTACACTGGTGATAGGCAGAAATAGTCTGTGGAACAGTTACTGAACTATCCCTGTCTTACTGCTCTGTGACAGCCCGCTCCAAAATACTAAGGCAACATACACCTTCCTCAGGGGAACGCAAGGTCCACCAGGACAGGATATGTAGCTACAGGTCTAAATAGATATGGCTTAACTTAGACAGGGTGGGCTTCATATACACAACTCTTACCACTGCATAAATTAATGTAGGAAACCAAGGACTATTTCCAACCAATGGAAAATTCACTAGTTTCATTAGTAAATAAATAATAAAAAAATACCAAGTCACAGGTGATCAATAAGCAAGTTACGGCATATATGATGCAAGGGTGAATACTAAAAGTCATAAAGCTGCAAAGTTGCACACATTTTCTAGGATAAGCTGCACTGAACATGGGAATACCTATTTTTAAGGATACATACAAAGGAGAACGCTCTTATATGTGCTATGGTATATACGTTAGCACTGTTCCTGTCAAACTCTAAAGTAATTAAAGTAGACAGTGCATTAACTTGCTTACTGGACATGAATTAGATAAAAGAAGGTCTTACCTTGCCTGTGCTTTGTAAAATAGTAGTTCTTGTCCTCCACACTCTTTCCCTGCTGACAATGTCTCTAGTTACATCAACCTCTGCATCAACAAAACTTCGTTGTTTAAGGGCAGTTATGTCATCATCCAAATCAGTTTTAATAGTAGACCTTTTCTTGGCCATAATTTTGGCTTTGATAGCAGCAATCTTTTCCACAGACATGGCTTCAGATAAGGATCTAGAAAAGAATGTGTTAGAAGATTGAGCACTGTTACAAATCACCATTTGGCTACCCTTGACATTTAGTCCAGTCGTGTCGGACTCTAGAGGGCAGTGCTCATCCCTGTCTCCAAGCAGTAGAGCCAGAGTTTGTCAGTAGGCAGTTTCCATGGTCATGTGGCCAGCGCCACCATTTGGTCACACAACAATGCAAAATGAATGTTTCTATGGTAAACTACAAAGACTCTGCAAGGTTGAAAAATCATGCTTAGTTCTCCAGTAAATATCAAACTGTCAATATTTAGAGACAAAGCAAAAGATAAATTTAATTTATAACCATTCCACTCGTTTTAGGATGGCACTATGAGCATTTGCCAGAGCCTTTGGACTTCATGAAAGCTCAAATCTGTTACATCCCCCCATTAAAAATGTTCTCCAACTTTCATTCACTGTTGTGTGGACCACCCACAACCCTGGCTGCTCTCCAACTTTTCTGTTGAGCATGTACTTACTCCTGTTTCTGAACTGGATGAGGATCTTCAGCTGCATTGCATATTTTTAAGAACAAAGAGAAAGCCAGTATCGCACGTAATGCATTTAGTGGATAACTAGGTTTTTAGAGAAAGTACTGCTGGAGGCTTGGGCTTGTTGCAAGGCAGCAGCTAGTCCTTCCCACTTGCGAGAGGCAGCAGCCTGCCCGAAAGACCAATACAGCCCCACTCCTGTCCTCTGCACTATTACCCCATGCACAATGCCTCTCACAAAATTGATGGTAAGGTGACATCTAAGCACCCTGTATTGCAGTTAAGCTCTAATTTATACACCTTGACCAGGATCCTACAATTACTTCTTTCTAACTGCAAGTTATCTAGTGCTGTGTATTCGCGAAGGCTTTCATGGCCGGGATCTAATGGTTGTGCTGCTCTGCTACTCCTGTCCTCTGAAGATGCCGGCCACAGAGACTGGCAAAACGTTAGGAACAGCAACCTTCAGAACACAACCAAAGATCCCAAAAAACCCGCAACAACTATCTAGTGCTGCTTTAATTAAAATTATCATTACCAAAGAATATATTTTAAATTCTTTCTGTTTACCTTGTGTCTGCTTCAGAAAGACAAGTGCACAACTAAAGTTGAGAAGGTTAGCTGAACAAGACAACCAAAACTCCCTGCGACACAGCAATTACATGACAGGCTGCAATCATATACTAATTTGTGTGAATAATTTTCATCAGTAAAAAAAAAAGAAATTACAGCATTATGTTCAATTCAGGCCTATAGGAACAGGCTGCACATCCAGCAACAGCAAATTTGAAAACATCAAGGTTTTCATGCACCATATCTAACATTCACATGGCTTTTCAACACATTTTTATTTTATTTAAAATGCTTATATGCTCACCAACTGGCATTGCCCTAGCAAGTTTATAAACACATACATTCTAAAAATCCAATTTTTTCAATATTTTCAAGAAACTTCTCCAAATGAATTTCATATTATTCCTCTACCATCATTACAGGGATAGAGATTTTCAACAAATAGTCATTTCTGGCAAGATAAATCCTATGAAGGCCTGTCTATTGAAAACATGTTCTCAATTTTTAAACTAGCAATATATCAAAGAAGCTAGACTTGCCTGATCTGCTCTGTTTGCACAATGCCTTCCTTATGACCCTCCAGCCGTGCTGCCAGCCGTTCCTTGTCAAGACGTACACATTCTTCATCCTAGTGAGAACAACAGTTCGTTAGAAGACCATGGACTGAATCCACAAGGTATAACATAACATTAGCCAAAGAAAGCAGTACATTGTGCCACCAATTATGCTACCACATGTAACAATAATTTTAAAATACATTAGATTCTTCCCTCCTATACAGTTCAAAACTTAGACCATGGTATATAGACACTTAGGATGGCAAAACTATAGCACTTCATAATTCCCTACCTTTATTTCCCATAGGGATATATAATTAAGGTCCAACAGCCAGTGAAACTAAATTGTTCGGGCACAAGTTGTCCCTCACATGTTTGTTCACTACACCTGTCCAAACCATATAGTTTTACTTGAACCATTTGATAATATAAGTTCAGTTTAACGTCTAAGGCAATGGTTCCCAACCTTGAATAACCAACACAGTTGGTGGTGAAGGCTTCCGGGAATTGCAGTCCAAGAACGCCTGGGTTAACCAAGATTACAAACCAATGGTCTAAGGCAGGGGTCCCCAACCTCCCGGGCTGTGGACTGGTCCTGGTCTGTTGTCTTGGAAGGTCCGGGCCACCAAGACATGTTTTCGAGGGCCGAAGGAATTTGCGTATACATGCGTATGTGTGCATGTGTTTACTCCCACCCACCCGCACGGACAGTCCTGCATGTATGTGTGTGCGTGCGCACACACACACACACACACGGACAGACGGACGGATGCCACCCCCCTGGTCCTTGGGAGAATGATCTTCAACTAAACCGGTCCCTGGTGTCAAAAAGGTTGAGACCCACTGGTCTAAGGTATAACTCTGTCAAAACACTGCTTAAAAAGCTCTTAATGTACTCTCCTTGACATAGTGTATAACTCACTCGTGACCTTTCTTTAAGGGTGTTTTACATAAGACTCTCATAAGTCTTATGTAAAACACCCCGTACGCAAAGTATTATGTGGAAGAAAAAACTAATTTCATAAGATTAAGCAAACTTTAAAATTTAGTTTCTGCATCCTCCTATCCAGCTGCATCCTCCTATCCAGTGCCACCTGGTAAGCTACTTCAAAGGAAATTCCAAAATGTATAGTATGGCATGGGATACATCATTCAAAAAACCCAAAAAACTTATGTACAAGCCTGGGGGCAAAATATTGTTGTTTATCACCACTAACTCAAGAATGCAGAATATATGCATATAAATGGGACATATACAGCTATGGAAGGCACTATGAGAACACAAGGATAAATAAAATGTATCTTAATCTTCTAAACGGAATACAGTAAACCCACTCCAACCCACAACAGATTACAAAAAATAATAATAACATACCTCTATTCTTGGTTTTTTGGCTTCTGCTAATATTTCATCAGCTGCTCTTTTAACTGTGAGAAGAAAAATAAGTCAACATTCATTAATGGGCATCTTTAGCAAAGTGCTAGATAAAAATATCTAATAATTAAACTATACCTTGAGTGGATCGCTGAAGGCCTATTTCTAGTGGTGCACTTCTGTCTATACTCGATGACGTTGCTAGTAGAGACACAAAGAATAAAATATGAATAATTTTTAAAAGAAATTGACAAATACAAAGCAGTCAAAAGAACAGAGAGGGGCATTAAAGGTACTTTCTCTATGCTAAAGTGGTCTACAAATATGCCCCTTCCTAAACAACTATTGTATGTTTACAGCAAAAAAAAGTAACCTTGAAATAAATTCCATGGACACCTCCTCAATCAATAACTCTTGTTAACATTCTTTTTACTGAGGTGTTCTTAGCTATCTTTTTTTTATCATGCAGTATACCTTGCAAGGAAAGAATGCTCCACAAGAACATATGAAAGGAAAGACTGTCACCCAACTTTGCTGTTACTGCTCCCTGTTGCCCCCTAGAGCCTGAAAACTATAAGCCATGACTGTATCTCCTTGTAGGACAAGGCTTCTAGGCTGTGTGACTTAGCATTTCAGCACCAGAAAGGCTGAATCCACTCCTATCCCCAGTTTGCATTACTGCTTTAGAGCTCAGGGATATAACGTGAGCTCCTTGTGGGCGGGGAAGCAGTGCTGAAGAGAGCAACATCCAAAAAGGTATCATCATTTTGTGGAGAATAACTTCAATGGGACATTGAGGGAAAATAGTCCCCCTATTTGAAAAAAGGATAGACTCTATTGCTGCTTCTGTGCATGCTTTTTTGTATGTAACAATTACAGCAATATAAGGTTCCTGCCCACTGGTGGAGGAATGTGTTACCAGAAGGCAGAGAGGAATGAAGTGAACTTGGGACTTTGCATTAAAGCTAGGCTGGGCAGAAGGAAGATATGGAAGTGGGCAGCACCACCAGAGAGAGGATGCGGATGGCCTCCATTTCACATAGGCTGGACAGCCTTCGCAGCAGGTCTCTGGGCTAAATACCATGTCAGTGAATGACATGTCATTAATTCAAGACCTCATTTTGAATGAACTAATGTCTTGTATTACAGGAACCTGGCTGGATGATGCTGACGGGGTTAATCTCTCTCAGTTGTGTCCATCAGCTTTCTCTGTGCGGCATCAGGGAAGACCAGTGGGAGACAGGAAAGTGGAGTTGCAGCTATTTATGACAATTCCATCCCCCTTAATAGGTGCTCTCTCCCACAATCTACTGGGTCTGAGTGTGCATAAATGAAGATTGGTGCCTGGAACAGATTAGCCCTGCTGCATCACAGTCTTGCTTCCTGACCTGAATTCGTCAAGGTGATGTTGCCAGTGGAATCATTTCAGCTTCTAGTGCTAGGGAACTTCAGCTTTCACACTGAGGGCAAGCTCTTGGTTGGGGAGTTCCATGTCATTTACAACAACAAAGGGCCTGTCCCAAACAGTATTCAAAAACACACATGCTGCAGGACAGATTCTGGACTTGGTCTTCTGTGATAGACAGGATGATGGGAATTTGGGCATGGAGGAGCTCTGTACAGAGATGGGAGTTTCCAATAGAGCACAGCATCACAAGTGTTGCTGAGCCCCATCCCCCTTCCCCTCAGGCTGTCTGATCCACTTACCAGCCTCTGCATCCTGCTGGGGTCCTTCTTTAGAAGCAGCGCTGTAATCCAGGCAGGAGCCCAGCCATTCTTTTCCTGCCTCCTCAGACAGACAACCACTCATCAGTTGTACATGGAGACTCCCTGTCCTGCCTCTTCACCAGAGTGGTTGGCTGCCTGAGGCAGAGGTGGAGAGAGAGGTGGAGCCATGCCCAATGAGGCTAAAAATTAGAGGGTAAGGTGGCTTGGATGCATTGCTCTATTCATCCCTGAGTCTGGATGCTCAGGTTCTGGTGGTGGCCAGGAATGCATTTACACAGTTAAAGCTAGTGAAGCAGCTATATTCATTCATAAAGATGTCTGACATGCTAGAGTGCCACACGTCTTATTTGCATCTCGGCTGAACAAGTGTAGCATAGTCTACATAGAGCTCCATTTGAAAAATATTCAGAAGCTTTGTGAGATCTAAAACACTACAGCCAGATTACTTATTATGGCCAGTAATTTCCTTTCTACAACAGTTTCACTGTCACTTTTCTGCATGTCAAAGTACAGATAATGACCTATAAAGCTATATACAACTTGGATCCATGCCATATGAAGGACTGCTCAGTTATTTCCAGGTTACAGAAAATTTTCAAAATGTCCATTTGAAAAACAGAAAATTTATACAGATTGATCTATACTTGAATGTTGGAGACACTGTTTACAATTTTTCACAGATTGCTTATACTGCAAGTCCTGTGTGGATTCTGCAACAAAATGTTATTCTGGGTGACTAAAGTGTACCATGCATGTACACCTTAAAACGTCAGATTTAAGAACAATATTCATTTTGGAAAAATACATTAGTACTACTTCACTTTCACATCTGAATCTCTGATTTCCTAACTGCATTTCTAGGCAGAGATAAAATCCTGTATCTACTGAAAATACAAAACAATTGAACTCCCTTTACTCACAATTTTCTCCATTTAAATAGGCAAGGAGATCTTTTCGGTCAGGTCTTCTCACAACAGGAATGTTTTCAGTCTTAAAAGAATCAAAAACTGATCTTAGATACAGAGCAACACAAAACAGGTTATAAAAATGTGTAAACCCATAGCAGCAGCACATATGAAGTTCGATGTGAAATTATCTCCCTTTATCTCAGATATAGATTCCACATACATTATCCATAAATTGACAAAAAAGTAAAGAGTTTTTCATGATTTTAAGAGCAGGCTCAGAACCACATTATCATATATTTGATGTAACTATTTTGTTAGGACAAACTGAATGCAGTGATGTGGGGTGAAAACTTTCCCCATGTTTAATTTTTCCACATAAAATCTTCCATTTATTTTCCCTCCCCACTAAATAACTGTTACAGAAAATGTTTTACGAATAATGAATAGGAACCAATATAACAAATGGTTAGGATTTTCAAAGATGTTACTAATATTTTTCATCTGACTATTCCTAGAAGCTTGTGAGAGACTACCTATATAAGTTTTAAACACTGGAGTTAAGAAGTGTAAAATAAAGCAATCAAGTAACAAGATTGGAATTCACCTTTTAGCTAGGCAGCTCAAACCAAAGCCAAAACTAAAACTACGATTAATTTTTGTTTCACTTTTAATAAACATACAGAACAATGTATATTTATTTTCATGAACTTAAGAAGCTGGATGTGTCTTTGATCCTATTATAAGCATTTTGTTACTCTTAAGTAATGATAATAATGCATAATCAGAAAAAGTATGTAAACTAAGTAGGACAAGTGATTCCAGAGACAGTGAAACTAAAACAACAGATAGCCCTATAGACTCAGAAGATACCTAAACTATGATAGAAGCAGATGAACAGATAACCATAGCATAGTGCACAGTTGTGAGTCTCTTTCCTGCTGTTCTGACTATTCTAGTTTGTTTCCTCATCTATTTCAGTATTTATCTGCTTCAGTATATTATGCAGTTCACTAGTGTGCTATTTTGTCCAATTTATTCATATACAATAGTTAGAATGCTACAATTGTTAATTTTTTTAAAAATGCAGTGCTAGTACACTAGATCAAAACTTAAATCCAATATAAGTATCGCAGAGGAAATGATATTAGCGAAGTTATATTATGCTCTTGACCTGTGCATGTACTGCATCTATTCTGGTGGCTCCTAGGCTGAGAATCCATTTCTTACGCACAATCAGCAATTAGGGGTTTCCATGCTGAACATCATGTGTCCTAGCAGAATGATATCATTAAATAGTGGTCTACTGGAACAACCAGTAAAAATTGTTTTCTGCCCTTCATAATCATCCCTTCCTCTTTTCTCTTTCACAGATGAATCAAAACAAGTCCTAGCCAGTAACCCATATGGTCCAATTATTCTACAAATGTGACAAAATAGCATCAACAGTTCACAGCAGAGGAACAGGACCTTACTGGATGCTGCCAGCCTGTTTCTCAAGCTGTTGTGACAGTTTACACTAGCTGCTGAGGCATTATTGCCCATTACTGAACTGCAACTGAACCATTTATTCTCTCCTGATTCAAGCAATAATCAGGGGTTACCAAGAGAGTGATACAACGTGCTGAGTTGCACAAAGTTATGGCTTGAACCCTACATCATTAATAACAGAACAATGAACTAGATATTGGGTGCAAATCTACTATCTACTTTTTCTCTAAGGAAAGCAGCTTTAAGAATGAGTATCTTTAAGTATAAATATGTGAACAGATATAACACTTAACCCTTCTCTTTCAAACATGCATCTGGAATTCAGCACAGAGAGAAGAGAACTGCTAATTGGGAGCTACATGCAAGAGATGAAGACAGAAATAAATATAAGATACTTAGCAACACTCTTGAAACAACATTGTAAAGATATTCCACTTGTTTAGGCTCTCAGTGCCAAACAATATGTAGTTACAAGTGCAGTGAGGCCTTTTCTCATTATTCCACTGCCATTTTTCTTTTAATAAAGACAGCTCAAGTCACTGTTTGCTTCTTATGCCTCACTAAACTCCTATAGTGAAGTGATTATTCCAGACGGATACAGTGCCACAAGCACACCAATCTTTACAGTGCAGTATTTAGCTAGGCTCTGTTGCTTTAAGTTTTCCCTTTCTTTAAAAAAAAAAGACAAGGGATGAGACAAACAGTGAAATAAGCAAATACTACAGGCTAGAACAGTGGTTCTTAACCTGGGCGATAATGCCCCCCAGGGGGCAATTTCATTTTTCAGGGGGGCGGTAGAACGAAAAGGGGCGGCATGGGGGCGCTGGAGCAGAAGGGGGGCGCTGGAGCAAGCCAAACCTGTGAAGATGGCTGCAGCCTTTTTACAATGTGCATGAATATATATTTTCCTCCTATCTTAATTTAGTTTCAGACTTTTTGTCTTAAAATTTTTAGTTCCTGCATTTTATGCCCTTTTTATATTTCTTTTTGAGTCTTAAAATTCGCTTGCAACTAAATCATTAAATGTTACTTTTTGGGGGCATTTCATTTTCTTGGAATTGAATTTTGTTTTCAGGGGTCATTGGATTTAAGTGTCTTAAACAAACAAACAAACAAACAAACAATAAATAAATAAATAAGATTAAATAAGAAATAACAGGGGGGCGATGATAACTTCCTCAATGGCTCAAGGGGGCGTTTCTTTCAAAAAGGTTAAGAACCACTGGGCTAGAAGACTAAACCAACTTATGCCAAGGATGCTTAGCACCATCACAGTACAAAGCAATAGACTTTTATTGTCTAAGATAGGTGCCATTGTACTGTAAGGTTGTTGCAATTATCTAAACATAAAACTAGCAAGAAGATGTTTATCAACAGCAGAGGTGTGTAACTGTCTTATTCAGATGATTGCACTGCTCTCTCTCTGGGCCAAAAAAGACTGAATAGGCGGGCCTGTGTTAAGAAGGGTACACCAGCCTTCTTAACCTGAAATAGTTCAACAAGATTTGCATCTAACATCTAGTTCATCAAGAAGATGCACACCATCGTCAGACAACTGAACGTGAACTACAGAATTCTGAGTTCTGGTCTCCTAAGTTCTTGTAAGTAACATGCTGGAATCTGGGAATCCAAAATACTTTCAGTTCTGCTTAAAGTTTAAGCCTAACCCACAGAGCACTTCTTGAGGAATGGAAAGCAGACAGCAGTAAAGTCATCTTATTGAGATGTGTGCCATGTTTGAAAAGAGAGGTCATAAAATAATAAATCTAGGAGGCTACACATGCTACACTAAAATGGGTGCTACTTAAAAGACATGATACAGGTATAAGGTTGTTTCCTGACATGAGGAAATTATGAATAAGCCTTAGGACAACATGTTCTCCCACCATTCCTTTCTAAAGTACATATGGTACCTCAGCTGCAAGCAACAATTTATCAGTAAACATCATGAATAATGATTAAAGCCTCTGAAGATTACGCTTAGCATAGGACCTCAATACCACTTCCAACTAGTGTGGATCTATTTTTAAAATTTTAAATCATGATTTAAATCACTATTATTTAATTCACTATTTAAATAAAACTGATTTAAATCATGATTTAAATTTTTGAAAATGGATTTTCTGACAATTTAAATTAAAAAATGTTTTTTACCCACATTGCTTCCAACTAGTTTCAGGTTCTGTGATAATGTTAACCAGAGCTAATATAATTCTGGCAATCAGAAGGGCTACTTGTAGGGAGAGTAGTGTACAAAGCTGGCTCCCAACTTCTAAATATCACTGGCAGAGAATCAGAGTTAAGTCTGCAGTGGCCCACTGCAAGATACTGGTATATAAAAAGTAGAGCATACCATACCTCTTGTGCACATATTCTGAATAGTTAAATGCATCCAGAAAATACTCGCCAGTCTCTCTGTTGAGACACCACAGCTATCACTAATGTCTCCTTATTATTATACTTTTATTCCACCCAATTTTTTATTCCTTTTTTTCCTGGTTCTTATTTAAAAAATAATATAACATTCCACAAATACAACAGCTACTAATCATAGATGTTTCAACGCACTGATGCAAATGTATTCAACCAAACCAGTGTGTTGCAGAATCATTGTTTGCACTTATTGAAATTGAAATTTTCCCAAGACGGAAGTTCATACTTCCCAATTATTGAAATGTTCAATTGACAAGAAGGCAGTTTAAATATTTCTATAACCATAATTAGGTTGCATATTTAGGAAATATACTTACTGCAGCACGACGGACATAGACAGGATGTGAAAGATGCACGTTATTCAACAGAAACAAAATTGAATCCAAAGTATAGTATTCCCTTGGCTGGCCTTCTTTTCCTGTCCTGTAAATAATAGAAAGCAAGAATGATTTAGATTTGAAGAAAGCACATACTGTACTGTCTATTATTCAGTTCAAGAAAAACTGCCATCATGGACTGATGATACAGAACCATGTATCAATTTGAATTCTACGACATTTCGTTTGGTGTGTTGTCATGGACTACAGTTCATGGAAACATGTGCTAAAATGTGTGTGGGGGGGGGGCACACACATGCAGTAACTGTTATTCTTTAAGGTTTCATAAAACTCTTTGTTATTGTGTTCAACAAACACAAATCCTCCACCTGACATTGTTGAACTGATGACAAAAACAAGCAACATATATAGCAAAACGGCTTTGCAATAGTTGACCATCAGGGTGCTTAGCTCTTCCGTCATTTCATCCCTCAGAACTGCTTGTTCTTCCTTTCCCTGCAACATACCAGCATCAGAGTACTTTTTTCAGAGCCCGCAAGACAATGAGTATAACCCTGAAAATCCAATCCAAAAGGTCAGCAACACAATATTTTCATCTTAATTTATCTCTTCAACATAGAGAAAGTAGATTTTACCACTACTTTCATGTTCGACCATTTCTATTAAGGGTGATCTTCACAAGGATGCAAATATTCTCTTTCAAACTGGCGTTATAATTCAACACAGTAAACTCAGTATGAGAAAACATGAGGTAGCAATGCAAACACTTGTGGCAATGGCAGTCAGAAGGAAATATATCCTGCAAAACTGTTCTCAACCACAAACCAATATGTACTTTAACAGCTTCCATATTTTCACTGTAAAGAGCTGAAAGGCAAGCAACAATGGTTTCAACACAACTACTTACTCCTGCATAAAGTAAGGAACAAGCAAGATGTCCTCTCTTTAATGCAGCCTTCCCCAAGCTCATGGCCTCTATACAGTAGTTAGTACACTATAACTCACCAGCCGCAACCAACGCAGCCAATGGTGAGGGATCAAGAACACTTAAATTCAAAATATCTGGGAAGGACAAGATTGAAGAAAGCTGTCTTAGAAACATGCTATGTGCATGGACAAAACTAGGAAGACAGGATTGAATAGTTACAGAACAATTTCTTACATATGTAAGAAATTTTGATAGACATACTGCTCCTGGTCACAGTAATGAAACTGAATTTAGCTTTCCCCACCCTGGTGCCTTCCAGATCTCTTTGCTGATGGCCTGGAGAAACAGCTAAACTACAGAATAAGTAAATATATCTGTGAAAGCCCTAGCTGCTATTTACACCGGGAACCCAACTACTGTAGAGTTTTCTGCCTGGATTTATTTGAACAGAAAAAAAGAGAGATTGTGGTGCCACAGCTGGGATCTCAGTAGAAAGCTCCTAAAAGCCAGAATGAGCCAGAGGGCCGTATCTGATGTGCCAATTTGATCACCAATGTTTGAACAAGCCAAAATATATTTCTTGCTATGATATTTTGCAACATCTATTCATAGTCCTAATACAGTAAATACCTTGTTTAGTACTCAGGATGTATTCAAAGAACGTAGAGCACTAAATGAACCAGTGCAAAACAGGACATTTTAACATTGTGCCTTATGGCGGAAGATCCAGAAGCTAGTGTACTTGTGGCACAGATTGTCCCTGAAGCCACAACTGCTTTAGGCAGACAGAGTCCCTGTCAAGCATCCCAAAGTGGCATGTGTGTTATATTGAACCAGTACAGTGGACCCTCAACTTACGGAATTAATCCATATTGGAACGGTGGCTGCAGGTCGAAAAGTCTGTAGGTCGAGTCTCCATTGACCTACAATGCATTGAAAACTAATTAATCCGTAACCAGCTGTTTTTGTTCCGTTTTTGTTCCATTTTGGTTTTTTTCAGGTCTGTAAGTCAATTCTCTGGCTGCAAGTCAAACCTAAATTTTGCATCCAGAGAAGTCTGTAACTTGAAAAGTCTGTAAGTCGAGCCATCTGTAAGTCGAGGGCCCACTGTAATATGCAGGTCTGTGTTATCTGGTGTATTACTATACTTTTATGCATAAATGTATCTCCCACCCTTTCTGAAGTTGCCCATAATGCTATTCACAGAATTCCATTCAACATCAAGTTCATGAAAGTTGTCTAAGATCTCCACTAAGAGCAGCCTAACAATGTAGGCAAATGTTTCTCCAAGGCCATCATTTGAAAACAATTATTTTGACTCTTTCATTCTTCTGCTATTAAAAGAATGGGGGGGGCACCTTATTATTCAGCCGTAGGGTTTTCTTCCTGACCACACTCTTCACCACAAACATGTTTCCACGACACTGTTACTCATGAAAAACCTACAAATAATATGATTTAAAAATTCAAACAAATACAAAATCAGAATAAAGCCACTACTTCTGATCAAAGTTATTTTCTGGCTCCTGCTACCTACGTCTCCACCAGTTTATATACTGAGCCACTGCACTTGCAGTGTAGGGAAAGGAGCACTGATCTTGCAGGTGACACATATGCAAAATTATTTTCAGTGGATCATACCCTCAAGTAAGTGTGCATAGGATTACAATCTTGACTTAGATCTAGTCTGTGTAGTTCAACAGGAATTTCCTCTATTTGCTGTAAAAAATTACTGCATTTCCTTGGTTTTGCACCAAGGAAGAATCTACCTTTTACATGTTCCTTACATTTTATTTTACAGATGGATTAAGAACACTTTTACTCCAACAAATACTACAACACAAAGAAACTGCATAAGGAATGTGGGATTTTTCTTTCAGGGGCCTTGTGGTGCAATGGTTAAACTGCTGTACTGCAGCCAAAACTCTGCTCATGACCGGGGCTCAATCCCAGGTAGCCAGCTCAAGGTTGACTCAGCCTTCTATCCTTCCGAGGTCGGTAAAATTAGTACCCAGCTCGCTGGGGGACAATATATAGCCTGCATAATTAACTTGTAAACTGGCCAAAAGGTGCTTTGAGCACTATGGGGCGGTATATAAGCAACACACTTTGTTTTGTTTTTTACCAATAAACCCATTACTGTATGATCCCCATATCCACAATTTACCATAAATACCTAAACTTCAGACAGTAGCAAATCCTATACAACATACAAGGAGGTGGGACAATGGCCACAAGGCCTTCCCTCTTGTATGCTGTATACAGGGCTGCAGTAAATCATGTATAATCGAAACCACAGATACTGATTTTGCAGATATGGGCTTCAACTGTAATTTTGACAGCAAAACCTTAGGTATATTGACTACCACTGCCTCAACTTTTACTGTTGAGCCCCAGTCACAATGCAAAATAGCAAACTTTTTATTCATAAAAAATACAATCCGTATTACATGAGTAGGAAGAGTTTGCTTTTCTAAGGTGCTTAGATAGTTTCTCCATTTTCATCTAACAGAGAGCATAATGAAAAACATGACAGTCTTTAATGTGGACTTGCACAGCACATTCATTTTCAAAAAACTCAAACTTCAGAATATAGAAAGATTAGAACAACATTATAATATGCACTTGTAGTTCTTTATACATAGGCATGGCCATGCAGAGGTAGAACTGCACACTAACAAGACACATGAAGAGTGCTATAACTAATCTATACTATGTAATTGTTCTTAGTGATTAGTTTTTTTCAAATCCCAGAGCATTCTCTCAGTATTTGTTCCACCGTACTCCGATTTTCCTTCGTTCTTTAAGGTTTCCTACCATTTTTACAGAATATAAAATAAAACCAACAACTGTCTGGGGACAGGTGTGGGACCAAGAAAAACCTGATACACATAGATTCCAGTCCTTTATCTTTCAGTCAATGAGACAAAAACTAGAACCATTTCCTTTTCTCCCCTTTTTCTCTCTTTCTCCCCCTCCACTTTCTTTTTCTTTTTCCTATAGATCCACCGTGGTGCTAATAATCTTGTTGGTCCTATTCCACAGTCAAACAAAGAGGAAAAAGGAGAAGGAAGAAGAAGAACCATTTACAAATTCAGATGTAAATGTGAAATTTTGATCAAGCACCATTTGGCAAGGAACTTCAGTCCTTTTACATTTCATCCCCTCATTTAATCCAGAACAGCCTACACTTCTCACACTGGCCTAGCACAGAAAATAGGAACAAATCCTGCTCTCTGTTTCTTTCTAGTGGAGCTTTTAGCTTCTCTATGTAACTCTTGATCAAATTGCACTGACAAAAGAGGAATGTATTTACTTGGATTAACTCAGGGATGGGGAAGAAAGTCTTCAGATGTCATCAGACAGCAACTTCCATCATTCCTAGAATGGGAACTGCAGCCCAACAGCACCTAGATTACTACATATTCCAACCCAATGTCTTAATTACAGATGTTCAATGAGAAATTACAGTAAAAATATAAACTGAACTGTACTTTTATATTATTTATTCTGTGTTGCGAACAAACACAAGAAGCTGCATGGAACCCAGGCAGGGCTTTGTCCATTTAGTCATTTAAATACTCAGAGTCTTCAACCTGATCTTTTGGGAATTTCCCTCAGAATTCTGCTTAGTCATAAAGTGTACTACAGTCTTGGGACAGACTCGATCTTTATGACTACAGTACACAGCCATTAGACTGCTGGAAGGAGGAAAGAGATTTGCCAACACACTCCTCTTGGAGGAAAAATAAATAACAAATAATTATAGGTGATGTTTACACAGTGCAAAGCACCCAGGTACTTTGCCTTAAAGCAGCTTCATAAACTAAGTTGGCATTATTACACTGCTTCTTACGATGAAATGGAGCTAGGATAGGGATGAGATGTCTAAGATCAGTCAATAGGTTCATTGCAGAGTCTAGAAAAGCCAAATCCCACCAATTCAGCAATACAAAAAGAAAAGATGCTAATCAGCTGTTAATACTACATTTAATTACCATGACTAAAGAAGTCAAAATAAACAATACTTATAGTATATATTCTGGTACGTGCACTCCCTGCAATATGTATTTATATTAGAAGCCACAGAAAGAACATGAGAGCAGCAGGGTACAGGTCTGAGCAACATGCCTCTCCAGCAAAATCCATGTGGCAAGCTGTGGTCCCAGTCAGAGACAGGAAGTCACGTCTCAACAAGAAATTCTGTAACACAGAACCTCCACATCTCTTTCTCCACATTATGTTTAGAGAAATTTATGCCAATGACTCTTTCAAGCCCAACTTTCAATTTGCTCCAACTCCACAGAACAAAAGTTGTGAGAAGGGTAGGGCAAGGAAGGGAAGGCACAAGAATCACCCTGCTGCCCTCCCTCTTTATTTTCTCATACAGTAGTACACAGAAGGAGACGTAACTGGTTCACGACACAAAAGATGCACAACATGCCACCTAGCAAAGGGAGAAGCCCACAAAGGATTTCATAGATTTATTCTCTCCCATATAGGATGTCAAGTTATCCATTTTTCTTCTCCTTCCTCACCCCCCAAAAAACACAGAGTTCCAAATAAACTCAACCACTCAAAATGATCCCTACAATCCCTCTATCCCAAGTTTCCCAAATAATTATTTCTTATACATAGAGCAATTCCTTCTTACACACTTCTGCAGCCAGAAACAAGGTTGGTTAAGTGCTGGGTCATCTGTCCAGTCGTGCAGAAAACAGACTATGTATTCTACAGAAGTGGAAGCACATAAAAGCCAAGCAATGCAAATGTTTCTACCTGCACAACCCTAGAGCACTAATATGAAAAAAGTGGAAGAACAACTCCTATATCCCACTCAAAGAACTCTTAGAAGTAAGCTTCAATATCCATTACAAAGAAGTATCTTTCTGGACTCTTGTATTTATCCCAAAGCATGTGAGCTTATTCTCAGATCTGACTTCCAACAGGTGTACTTCCTGTACCTCTTACAAGCAGAAACTCTTTTTAAGATGGGGTTCCAAAGTGAGAAAAGAATTGTCTCCGACCTTAACTCTTCCATATTTGCCTGCTGCTAAAGACTCACAGACTGGATAGCTCAGTGGCTCAAGTATCTGACTATGGAGCCACAGGTTGGGTGTTGGATTTCCTGCTACACCACAGCAGAGCCAGCTAGTGTGGCCTTGGACAAGCTCCATCGTCCCAGGATGCCTCCAGAAGAAGCAAATAATAAACTGTTTCTGATTACTCTCTACTCAGAAAACCGTGAAAAGGGTCACCATAAGCGAGGACTGACCTGACAACGCACACCTCCCAAACAATCTTATGACCTTTCGCTGGTTATCGGATGCAGATGTACTGCATCCGAAAAAGCTTAACTACAAACACCCTCCCGGCTCTTAAAGATATCAGTCCGCACACTCCTCCCAAGCGTTCACGACAAAAAAAAACTCAGCATGTTTTTACGGCACCCCTTCCTTCCCGATGTGTCAACAGCCTCTGGCTTTAAAGGTGGGGCTGAATAAACGCACTGAAAAGTGGCAGGTCAACGGCTATTGGCCACCTAAACTCTATAAGACCCCCCACACACACACAAACACACACCACGTTCAGAGACAGTGTACTCTTCGCGGGACAATAACAGGTGCTCCTTTCACGCCCTTGTTTCCCCCGAACCAGCTGGCCGCCCACTCCAGGAGCGCCTGAGGCGAGACCAGCCCGGCCCCTGGTTGCTAACCGGGCTCTCCTTCCCACTTTTCCCCCTCTCTCCTCCGCAGTTCCACAGACACTCTCCGGCCCCCGCTTCCCGGCCCTTCCGCTCCCACCGGGGGCCCTCCTGGCGCGCCCTCCTCGCCCCACGGAGACTCACCCCCAGATGACATAGTTGGTCTTGACATTCTTGGGCCAAGAGAACTCGCCGAAGATCACTTCGTCCCCTTTCACCACAATCTCCTTCTTCTGGGTGTTGTATTGGCGCAGCACGCTCAGGACGTCCGCCATCGCCTCAGCCTCGCTCGCTCCCTGGCTGGCCTCGAGACCGGACCCCGCGCGCGCGCGCTCCTCTCACCCTTCCCTCGAGCCTGCCGGCGCAGCCCCCCTCCTCCTCACGCGCTCCCCGGCCTCTACGCCGACGCGGCCAACCACCCCGCTCGGCGACTGACAGGCAGGCAGGCAGGCAAACAAACCGACCGTCTCGCCGACCCGACTGGCCCCCAGACGCCACCGACGACAACGACCGAGGCGCCCCGCGCGCGCGCGCGCAGAAGCGGGCGACGAGGACCCCTGTGGGCGGACTGCCCCGGCGTGCGCCTGCGCGCGACTGAAAACCCGAACCTCCGCCTAGAGCTGTCCTTCCTTCCCTTTCAGAACTCGCGAGGGAAACCAAATACGCTTCCTCAGTCGGAGTTCTGGGCCCACCTAACCCTTCCTTCCCCAGCTGGCCTTCCCCGCTCGCCGTTGGGAGGAGGGACGCAAACGTGACTGACAGCAGAAGAAACCCCTCACAAAGCGACAAAGCCACGTAAGACCGATTTGGGGGAAAGGAACAGAGAGAACAGGCAATGTATTAGATAACCCCGGCGAGCGGGGTCCTTGGGAGGGAGGCAGCTTCCTGAGGGGGTGGGGCGAGGGCTGCCCTCCGTGGTTCCTTCCTTGCCCCATGGCGCTGAGGGCGCTGCGGAGACTCAGGGTGTCGGGATCGGGGCTCAGGTCGGTGGATTTTTGCATGGTTCCTCCGCCCTTGGGAATCGCTTGCCCTCTGATGGTCCGTAAGAAAAGGAAAGCAGAAGCTGTTCTGTTCCGTAGGCTGAAGAGGGTCCGGCACACGGGTGGGGACCGCTGGGCGCCCGTTTGGGTGCACGCGGAGGTTTTGCTGCTGGGTGTCTCCTAGCATCATCAATCGGCGTTAATTTACTTAATTTGGAAGTAAACGTCGGTACTTTGTCCGGTCGTTTTTACTGAATAAAGATTATTGATGTTATGTGTCTCTGGGATCCTCATGTAAAAGCTTTCGATATCATCATCTTCAACATTGGGTTAATAAGGATCAATCTCTTTTAGGTATGCCTGTGAACCTTGATACCTTCTTTGGCAGCAGCGGGCAGGACGGGAGTGTGGCCCATATTTTTATTTAGCCATAGAAATTGGTTGCAGGGACGCTCGCCTTGAACAGGGTAGAACCGAACACACTGTGTGTGGAGAGCATTTTTTTAAAATTATGTGTAAAGGTTCCCCTTGACAATTTTTGTCCAGTCGTGTTCAATTCTGGGGGGCGGTGCTCATCCCCGTTTCCAAGCCATAGAGCCAGCGTTTTGTCCGAAGACAGTCTTCCGTGGTCACATGGCCAGTGCGACTTAGACACGGAACGCTGTTACCTTCCCACTGAGGTGGTCCCTATTTATCTACTTGCATTTGCTAGGTGGGCGGGAGCTGGGACAAGCGATGGGAGCTCACTCCGTCACGTGGATTCGATCTTATGACTGCTTGGTCTTCTGACCCTGCAGCACAGGCTTCTGCGGTTTAGCCCGCAGCGCCACCACATCCCTGCTTAATAAAGCCAATTCCTAACTAAATCATATTTGGGATAAGGAGTTCCAGAAAACATTAAACAATGGTATTTCTAGGTTGCTTTTTAATATCTTTTGCTCTTTTTAAAAATGACAATAATAATAATAAAGATGTAATGAACTATCTAGATCTTTTTTTCTTTTAACTGCCTAGCATCATGGCATGTTCCAGAAGGCTTTTAACTGAAATAATATCATCTGTGGGTCTGATGGCAATTTTTAGAATATATATTTTAATTGCATTTTAATTATTTTACCCTTTTATTTTGCCTTTTTATTGTATTTTAAATGTTGTAAGCCACCCAGAGAACTTCGGATAATGTGGGCGGCATATAAGTTAAATAAATAAATAAATAAATGTCTAATAAATAAATAAATTATATGAAACATTTATAATCCACCCATCATCTGAAAAGGCTTCTAGATCTGTTTACAAAAAAGGTCCCTGACCTTAGGTTTCAAAATCCTTATTTAAGACATGATGACACACAAGGAACAAAGTTTGAGAATAGGGGAAGCAAGTTGAAGCCCTGTAATGACAAGCTGAATGTAAACATTTCAGCTCTGCTGTGTTAAATGAAGAAATCTATAACTGTGTGGCACTTGCTAGGTGATGCTTTATGATCTAAACGTAATCAGCCTGAGGACCTTTTGATTTCTGTTGGTGAAGGTCTGATATATGTCGAATTATGTTCCTGAAATTCAGTACAGTACAGTATTCCAATCCCGTTAACCAATTGGCATTCAGTCATTCAATTGCTAATCACACTAGCACTCCACCTGTAGATATCAGTTGTTCAGGCATACAATGATATTGTTGGAAAAACTTGTTATAGTTCATTATAGAAATATAAATACATGGAGAGTTTAAGAAAGGAAAGAATAATTTCCTGTCTAATTAAAAGTAAGTTCTGTTGATCCTATGGCTCTCAATCCCACAAAAACTAATAGAGAATTGTACCTGTGCTATTCTTGTATCAGAATAGTCTGATCTACTCAAAACTATATTTTGCAAAATATGGTTGTAATGTACAGTACATTTTGCTTAATTTATTCTAGAATGGGAAACAGTACATCCACTTCAACAGATCTATCGAGTACTGCTGCAGCTAACCAAATAAAGGTGAGTCACTTGAATATTATCTTCTCAGTATTTCATATGCAATTAGTCTTTATCATTTATTATTAGGTATTCATAAGTCTGAACTTTTAAAAATGTACATTTTCAATGCGTTCTCCACTGGCAAAAGCGAGCTCTGTTTGATACAAGTAAACCATAGGGTTCTAAGCAAGAAGAAAGTGCATCCATTCATAGTTAGAAAGCCACTGTTTGCATATGTGTCTTGCAGCCCTTTGCAACTGTGCATTTTATACTTCAGAACTGCTTTTTAATACAGTGGTGCCTCGTAAGACAAAGGCCTTGCAGGACAAAAACTCGCAAGACAAATGGTTTTGGCAATGAGGTTGATGACTCACAAGACAAATGTTCCTATGGCCGTGCTTCGCGAGCTGAATGTTTTCCATTTTTTGTTCCTGCCTCATGTTTGCTGATTTTTAAATGTTTTTCTATGATGTTTAAAAAGTTAAAGTTTTTTGATTGAGATTTTTAAAATCATTTGCACAATATGTATGGCTTTAAAGACTACTTAATAAACCCTTTGTAAACCAAATTTGACTTTGTTCTGACTTTTTTTGCCCATAGGAACACATTAATTAGATTTCAATGCATTCCTATGGGAAAATGTGTTTCGCAAGACGAATTTTTCACAAGACAACATTAACTGCGGAACGAATTAAATTCGTCTTGCGAGGCACCACTGTATTTATCATCAGCAAAGCTGAAATCCTATACCCACTTAGCTGGGAAGAAGTTTAATTGAACCTGGTGTAGCTTACGTCTAAACCAAAGTGGAAGAAGTTCAGTCCTCCAAGTCCTATCAGCCCCAGCCAGGGAGTGCTGGATTGTATAAAAAGAGGTTACCTACCTGTAACTCTGGTTCTTCGAGTAGTCATCTGTGAATTCACACTAATGGGTTAATCTGTGCCTGTGCAGAGCAGCCTCAGAATCTTCTAGAGCTCAGGCACATGGTGCTAGGACCTCCCACATGCTTGCTATAACCCTGCCCCCAGCACCGAGTGCCTCCGTTCCATGGAACTGTCTGTCATTGCATAGCATGCCATATAGCACGTGTGACATACAGCGGGGAGGAAGGGCGGCAAGTGTGAATTCACAGATGAACACTCAAAGAACCAGAGTTGCAGTTAGGTAACCTCTTTTTCTTCTTTGTGGTCTCTGTGAATGCACACTAATGGGTGACTAGCAAGTGGACTTACCAGGTAGAGGGACATCACGAAAGAACAGATGCCAAGATATCCCGTCCAACAGCAGCCTCCAGTTTGACCCAAACATCAAGGTGGTAGCGGGTCGCAAAGATAAGTGGCATGGACCATGTAGCGGCCTTGTAGATATCTGCTAGGTCTACCCCTCGGAGAAAGGCTGTGGAGGAGGCGATTGTTCTAGTAGAATGGGGCCAAACCATAGTCAGCAAAAGAGCATCAGCCAGTTCGTATGCTAGGCGGATTGTAGTAACTATCCACTGGGAAATTGTTTGTGCCGACACCAGGAGACCCTTTCACTGCCCTTGGAAGGACACAAACAGTCTCTGTGAGGAACGAAAGGACACAGAACGGGAGACATAATAGGAAAGTGCTCTTTTGACATCCAAGGAGTGGAGATCTCCCTATGAGGAGATTGAGACGGAAGGCCCACCAGGCCAGCTGCGCTGCCGGCTCTGCTATAACTGTCAGCAGTTTGGAAGGAGGGTCAGCAGAGGATCGTATAGTGACAGGTACCAGGCCTGAAACGATCTCATTTTCAGCCTGGCGTGCTGAACTACCACGGTGGTGGAAGCCATGAGATCGAATAGCCACTGAGGAGCCTGCACTCTGGCTCCTGGAGTGAAGTGTTCCAGCATCGACTGGATCTTTACAATTCTGTCTTTGGGAAGAAATGCTTGTCCCAAGGTGGCGTCTAACACTGCCCCAGTATAGGAGACTCTCTGAGTAGGGCATAAATTGGATTTTTCCTGGTTTACCTATAGCCCAAGATCAGATAAAAGGGACAAAATAAATGAACTATTTTGAAGCAGTGAAGTATGCAAAGGCACCACCAGCAACTAATCATCTAGGTACAGAAATACTGCTAAGCCAGGCAAATGCCGGGACTAAACATTTCGTGAACACCCGTGGCACCGTGGACAAACCAAAGGGAAGAGCCTTGAATTCATAGATTACTCCATCGAGCGAGAATCTCAGAAAACGACAATGCTGTTTTCAAATACTGATATGGAAAAAAGCATCTTTGAGGTCTATGACGGCAAACCAGTCACCTTGTCTCAACATCTGGATAGTGCTCTCCAGCGAGACCATTCGAAAATGTCGAGGTGTAACATAAGAATTCAAGAGGTGAAGGTCGAGGATGAGGCAAAGTCCTCCGTCCTTCTTAGGAATGATAAAGTAATGAGAGAAAAAAACACGTGCAATATCCGGGATGTAAACCATGGTAATGGCATCCTTTAGAAGAAGTGTATCTACCTCCTGTTGTAGTATGAGGGAGGGAGCATTGTCTCTAAGCAGCCCCGTGCAAGGTGTAGAGTCAAATTCAGTTGGATATTGTGTGGCTATGATCGTGAGAACCCATGAGTCGGAAGTGATAGACTCCCAAGTGTGAAGAAAGGGTCCAAAGCGGGTTAAGTTGCAAGATCTTGCTGGTGGGCCAACAGCGTTAAAGGTTCTGCCTAGGCTTATGGTCTTGACGGCAGGCTTGTTGACAAGGCCGCTGCCTAGCAGATTGTTGCTGGGACTAACCTACAAAACTAGATGTTTGTGTTCTTTGGTGGTCAGGGTAAGAACGATATAAGGTCTGCTCTAGGAATTTCTTGGACGGGATTGAGCATTGTAGGATCTCACCATCTTACGGAGTTTCAAGAGATTATTGAAAATCTCATCCGTTTCCCTTTGAAAACACCAACCCCATCAAAGGGCAGGTCCTCAATTCTGGCCCTGGCGTTATCAGAAATGCCAGCTGAATGCAACCAAGTATGCTGATGTAAAGTGATGGCTGTAGTAATTTGTTTGGTAGCAGCGTCCACAACATGCCTGGCGGCAATTCTTTCCTGTCTCGCCAGGGTCATGGCCTCCTGATGGCAGGTGAGGCTAGACGCCCTAAGCTCTTCAGGGGTGGCCTGCAGTGCCGGCAAGACAATATTCCATAAATGGCAGTGATAAGCACCAATCACTGCCATGTAATTGACCACACAAAGTATGAAGGACGCTAGGGAATAAACCCTACGTCCAAGCACATCCAGTTTCCTCCCCTCCTTATTGTTGGGCGTGGTCGCAGATCTATTCCTAGCCCTATTTTGCGTGGCGTCCACGACAAAGGAATTGGGCAGGGGATGCTTGGAAAGGAAATCGGTGTCCTTGCTGTGAGTTTTATAAAAGTTCTCAACCCTTCTGGGGATTTGATGGGATGTTGATGGTTTGTCCCAAGGTTCTTTAACGAGGTTGAGAAGGGAAGGTATAAAGGCCTAACAAAGAGGAGGGACCTGATCCTTTGTGATATCATCATAAACCTTGTCCACTTGTTCAGCAATTTTTTGATCAGGTGGGAATACACTGTATAATCCTCGGAGGGGGACAGTGGATGACTCTCCATGACATCGGAACCCAGAGTCAGAATGTTTTGAAGAGTCCTTCTCAATCTGTTCATCAGATTCACCTGACTCGGACTCGAAGTCATAGATATGGTAGGGAGAAAGCCGATTGGGCTTGAGCCGATCCATACCGGTCGGGGTGGATAGCTGAGGCTTCAACAGCTTCCACCTCTGGCTCCTGAGAAGCTGTGCCTGGCAACACCGGCGGTGGAGGAGCCGGCTCCAAACAGGTTTGAGGGATCGAGGTTGGTCCTAGGGTGCAAAGATTATAGAAGCTCCTGAGGCGTTGGCTGGTAAGCTGCCCTACAAGGCATAGGTTGAAATCAACAGTAAAAATAGTCATCGAGCCACCTTCTATACCAAAGGATATCCTCCATAATATGGTGGCCACTGGCAAGCCCAAAAATACAAGCCCGAATCGTAGTGTGTCGGCAGCCAACGAGCATTGGGGTTGTAGCTCCTGGGATCATAGTAGTCTCTGGGATCCTCCCAGGGCGGTCTCCAAAAGTCTCCATAAGGAGGGTACCCCTCGGGCGGTAGTGGATGCCGAACCTGCTCAGGGTCCAGGTGTCTGGTCTTCTGCTTCTTTTTCCAAAGTGCATCCACGACCAGAGAAACAGGCGGAGAAGGCGACACTTGCCCTGACACCAAGCTTGGCAGTGACAAAGGACTGGCTCGCATCTCCACTGAGATATCGGCCCAATCCAAAGAAAGACTTATGTGCTGGGAAGGCGCTACCTCCCACCTCAAGGGAGGAATATAATCATCTTGCGACGGTGTGCTCAAACATACCGTCTCATGCCAGGCATGGGTCACAGGCAATGATGGCAAAGGCTCGGTCAGGGGCCTAGAGGCCTTAGAGGATGGTTTCTTCCTTTTCTTCAGCATCGAAGCTGAAGGAGGCTTTGATACCGACACTGGAACAGTCAACCTTGAGCCTGATTATGACGATCTATCTGGATCTATCTGTCTTGTGAGCAGGTTTAGGCGAATGAGTCACAGTGGAAGAGGTCTTGGATGGGGGAGCTTGCGGCGGTTCCATGGCCGAGGCTTGTGCTGAGCAAAGTGACTTCTCCCACAAGTAGGAACGAAGTCGCTGGAGCCTCTGCTACAGGGCAGGCTTAGTAAAAGCTTTACAGACAGTACACAAAGCAGGCTGATGCTCTTCCCCAAGACAGAACATGCATTGTGAATGACCATCCAAAAGCGGGACTTTGTTAGAACAAGACGAGCAGCGCTTGAAGGGGCCCAAAGCAGCCATAAGCCCACAGAAAAACACTTGAATAACACAGTTCTAGTCTTAATGTTAGACTCATGAATCCAGAAGAATGGTGAAACAAGCTGCGTCGAAAAGCTGGGAGGTCCAAGAATGATTTAATGAGGTTGAAGGAAGAAAAAACAAACATGAAGCTCTGAACCGAGAAGTTGCAGTAGCGGCAGCAGAAATGGAACTGAGGAACTTGGTGCCGGGGGCAGGGTTATAGCCAGCATGTGGGAGGTCCCGGAACCATGTGCCTGAGCTCTAGAAGATTCCGAGGCTGCTCTGCGCAGTCTCAGATTAACCCATTAGTGTGCATTCATAGAGACCACGAAGAACATAAATTCATTGTTGATTCTCTCCTGAATTTGGCAGAACTTCTCATTTTCCTTTCTTCACATTGTTTAAGGTAGACAGTTGTCAGTTAAATATGAGGAAAGTTTAAGATGAGGAATGTGGACCTGAAGGTTCACTTTTGGAGTTCAGATTGTGGGGCAGACTCTTGCAAGTTAAACTTCTGTTGAATATTTATCAAAGATCATTGAGGACCAAAGTAAAACTTTGTAAAAAGTGAGTAGCATTTGTTTTTGAGTTGTTGAACTATAACTTTTAAACATATTGACAGTTAAAAGTCACTGTTTTCCATCATTGTGTGTTTCTGAAGATAGGCTGTGGGGTTCAAAATGCAAATACTCTTACTGTTGGTGAAAACATAATTTGGTGCTGGTGCTATTTTAAAACCATTACTTAAAGTATGTCCTTTAAAATTGAAGAGTGTGACACAAGTATTCATTTAAACACATAGGAAACTATCTCAGACAATTGTGTTGTGATCTTCTCAAAAACATCATGTTCTTACTGTAAAATGGCCAAGAAGCTGTTTCAAGATATGAATGTGAATTATACTGCTATTGAATTGGACATGTATGAAAATGGAAGTCAGTTTCAAGATATTCTTCATCAGATGACTGGTGGCAGGACTGTGAGTACTTTTTTTCTCAAATATAGTTAATTTGAATAAAGGTACGGAACTCCAGACAGTGATCAGTCAGAACTCCTGTGATATAACCTAATAATAATAATCTTAGAACTGCAGAGCTGAAAGGGAACCTATGGATCATCAAGTCCAGCTCCTGTCAAGGAGGCGCAGTGAGGAATCGAACCCCCAACCTTTGGCTTCAAAGCCAGACCTAAGCCATTGAACTATTCAGCAGTTCTTCATTTGTATGAGTATTGATGTTGGATTCTTCAGCATAGCAGGTTGCCACCCTGCTTTTATAAATATAGCATTTCTACTTTTATCTACGAAAGTATGTTGAAAGGGATTATACAGTGTTGTACAATGCATGTGTAACTGCCAGTACTTGGCAGAAGATTTATCCTTGAGTTGTACTCTTGAATCCTTGTCTAAATCTCTGATCCATTCTTTTGCAGTTTTAAAACTGCAAAATCATACCCAAATCAGAAAAAACTGATATCAGGTTCATACTAAAGTTTGTAAATTACTCAGTCTGTTTGGTACATGTCACAAGTTAATTTGTCTAATAAATTACAATAGCCTGTGCTGTGGAATTCAAATTTTGTGGTGCAGGACATCAAGCTATCAAACCATGTGTTTGTGTGTGCTATACCTTCAATCTCCATATTAGACTATAATCTTTCATGAATATACTAAAAAGTATGCAGCATACATTTTATATTATCTCTGCAAGTGATAACTTTGATCTTCTTTATATTTTACAGGTTCCCAGAATATTTATCAATGGAACCTTTGTTGGAGGTGCTTCGGACACTCAGAGACTTCATCGGGAGGGCAGGCTGCTTCCATTAGTTTATCAGTGTCAAATCCCAAGAGAAGGGAACCCTGGACAGCCGTACAGTCTGCATTAGCCTTAATAGATTACCATTATGAAGGAACATGAAGACTGTATATTTAATTCCATTCATCCAACTTAATTTAATTCATCCAATATCCAACACAGATATTTTGACTTTATTTTTCTACATAAGTACTTCTAACGCATATAGATGTGTGCTAACAGCTTTGAAAAAGCCATATACTTTATTATGATCTAGTAGAGCATTCCCCAACTAGGAGCTCTCCAGTTGTGTTGGATTTCCACTGCTATCATCCCCTAGCAACATAGCCATGCTATTGGATACTGATTCAAGATGTGGAGGATATCCAGTTGAGGATGGTAGATCTTAAATGTCTTGTATTCAGGCTGCAGGATGGGAGTAAATTCATTGGAAAGAATGGGGCTTGTTTCAGTAGACATGTAGAGGATCCCAGAACACATATCTCATACCACCCTGTAATTATAGGTTCTACTTTGATAAAATCCTGAACTTAGCAATTCAGGCTATACAGGCTATAGGTTTTTAGCTGCACTTACACTGCTTTGAAATCAATGTAAAGCATTAGTCAAGATTTAATTCCTGCTTATAACAGTGAGAATTAGATGCAACTAACTTATCTTGGGTAACAAACTTTGTACAGTATTTGAATTTTCTGTAGCATAGTATTTTTTTCAAGTATTTATAAGAGGTGGCAGTTGTAGGACACTAGTATACAGTAAAGAAAGGCCAACAGTCCCTCTTATTTTGCCTCACCTCCTACAAGGGTTTACGTGTTTTCCCTGCCTTGTCACAGCTCCTTATTTTCTGTTTGGCTCTGGATGTTCCCGGCCCTAGTTTCCCCAGCCTCCTCACCAAGTGAGGTCAGCTTCACTAGGCTCCCCAGGGGCTGGGCTGGGGTCAGCCTGCCTGCTGGGGTGCCTCTGTCAACAACCGTCACAGCCAGGCTAATAAAGGTTTCAATTTTGGAAGGAGGAAACAGAAACCTGGGCAGCAAAAAAAATAGCAGCCAGAGAAGAATACTGGACATAAATAAGTTGGAGCCCCACAGCAAGCAGGCAAATCAGTGTTTCTGCTCATCATCTTTTTTCCATTAATTTTTGTGGGTGCGATTGGGTTCGATTAAAGGGAGTGGCAGTTCCTCTTTTTGAGCGGGAAATAACCAAGAAGAGTCATTTGAAACTTTAACATGTTTATTGAAATTAACATCAGGAGATTCAACTATTACTTCAACTGGATCAAAACAGCTTAAATCTGGTAACTGTCCGTATGAAGTAGGTAACATTCCAACTGGAGAACTATTTGGGTTCATTGTGGTGCTGGTCCGAAGCATACTCTGTCAGGTGGCTTCTTCAATGGAGCGGCACAGATCGTACCACAACATGGATGTCGGGCCCAGTCCCCTTCAATCAGAGGTTGGTTATATGTGGTGGCCGGCTGGATCACCCTCCTCCAATGACCCTGTCCTCTCGAGAAAACTACTATCCATTCCTGGGTTTCAGTAATTCTGACCTTTTTCTTCTTAGAATCAAGGTTGGGTAATAGTCCTCCCACCTTCAGGTTGGGGAAATCCTATAACAAATCCTGCACTTTTTTAATATTCAGCCTTTCCTCCTTTTCTTATTTCTTCCCTTGGCACTCTAAACTGTCTCATGCCTTCCTTCCTTTCATCTTCCTCCCACAAGGTAAGGTTAACTCCTCCCGTCCTTTTCCCTTTACTTCTTGCACTAAACAAACTTCCACTTTTACCTCTTCTTCTTTTTCTTTTATAATCAGCCCTTCTGCTTATTCCCTCTCTTAATGACTCTAATTTTGGTAGACAGCGCACTCTCAGCACTTCCCTTCTGACCTATTTCTCCTTCACAGTGGGTCATTTGCTTCATGAGCTTTTTCTTTCTCTGCTTATCACTCCCTTCAAGGGGGAAGTGCATGGAAGCAGTCCTGGTTGGAGTGGGGGCTAAAATTATAGACCCTTTGTACTTTGTTTTTTATGAGGCCTAAAAAGGAAATGCTGGCTTATCTTCCCAAACCAAACTCATAAGGCACAGAGAATTGTAGACAAATGTGAAAAATTACCAGCAGGACAAAACTGATTTTGTCCTGCAGGTAGTTTTGCAGTGGGTTATAATGAGGAGTCCTAGGGTAGGAATGTTAAAGGAGAATCACAGTTAACATCTTTACTCTCTGTCACAAATGAGCAAACAAGTTAAAAAGAATGTCTGGGGGACGAGTTCATGAGACCTTGGAGTGACATGAATATATTTTGTGCCAAGAAATCCACCAACATTTCACAATTGTGTTTTGTGGTAAAATGGATGCTATAGACATATGCTTTTTAATTAACTAGATTTGTAATCCAGACATTTGTATCCAGTCTTTAGATAGCCTATTGCTTGAATGTATGCCACCAGTGTTCCAAGCTTTAAAACTGTTGCAGATTGGAATGAAAATCCCTATTCCATAGCCGGGGAGGGGGGGGTGGCGGCGGGGGGAAATCATCCAACATTAGTTTTCCATAAGAAATTACACCAAGTTATCCTTTGAAATATTGACAGAAACAAATGGCTTTCAGTTTCTCATTTTAAATCAAGGTTCTGTTTCTCATCGGTAATAATAAAAATGACTTTATAAGTGTCTGTCTCAACCAGAAGTCCAAGACTGAAATGCCTATATGTGAAACTTTCTGGACACCATTAATGGTACATTTACCCGAAACAAATCTTGGGTTCCCTATGTCTTACTTGCTGCCTTCTTTTTCCTACACTGGTTGGCAAACTGGTGCTCTCAAAAAACTCATAGCAGGGAGAATAAGATGTTTCCAAATGGCAACAAATGAAGCTAGAGTGGCACAAGGAGGGATACATTATTTGACAGTGAAACTAAGCCTGTGAAACTTATAAGACTATATACTTTCAGCCACACCTACATAAAATGAAGCTTTGGGAGCCATTCGATTGAAACCCCTCCTCATTTTTGTCTCATCTGTCTGCATGCCTAGGAAACACCTGCAAAAAAAACTGCTATGCTTAAATAGCCTACAAATTAAAAGAGAAAATGGAAGATGTGGGCATGCGGAACTGACAACATCAGCATATCTATTCCTGCCATTTGGTTGATGTAATCCAAGTAAAATTCAGTAATGACAGTTTATGACGAGTAGTTGACCCTTTGTGCATAATTCAGAACTGACCAGGCAACGTGTAACAAGCCAATGAGAAAACTTCCACAAATGATAGGCATAGAATTTATTTTTTACTTGTCATGTTCTACAAATTATCAATCAGATTAGGAACATTTCATTTGCAATAAATGTGTAAAAACAGTCATTTAGTTTATTCAAAGATGAGGTGACTGATAAAGAACAAACCCCTGCCCTCTGACAGAGCAATGCCTACCTTTCTTAAGATGACCCAAGCTTGAGTGAAAGGCGCACTGCTTGCATTTTTTAAAAAAAAATAAGGTTGCAGTAGACTACCAAACACCAAGATTCTAAGATGTTTTATATGTTACAGTAAAAGGTACTCTGTGTGTGTAATAAAAGAATACCATCAGGAGATTCTGAAAGAAGGAAAAGACTCCCTGCAACATTTCCAAACAAAGTAACACAAAACATGGGTAAGGGGGAGGGTGGGGGTGTGATTTGGACTCTTAAAAAGCAATTAATGGCATGAACATAATTCAATTTATATCAGGCCTCTCCTAAAGCTGATAGCTTATATGGGAAGTGATTGGCTGGGTCTGTAACATAATTTGCTCTAGCAGAAGGCAGGTTTTGCCTCTTTCAAGAGACAGGCAGCAACTTCTAACACAGTAGAAGCCAAACACAGAAAGATATTTATGTTTCTGTCTGATAAATTTTCAAAGGCATTTTCATTTTTTCCCTAGCAGCCTACTTCCTTGTTTTGAAAAGGGTAGCACATGTTTAAAATATATAAATGATGAGAGTATGCTTTGAAAATACATGAAAAAATAATTATCTAGATACTTTCACTTTTTTTCCTGCTGTTGCAGAAGTTGCCATGTTTTCAAAGTTCTTTATGAGCCTGTTAATTTCTACCTGCCAAATTAATTTACAAATATACATTTCATGTTAAATATGCCATATTTTTTAAAATACATATCTTCCACAAATGCTGGTAAATATTCTTATTTCAGCATTTCTGAAAGATCAACACAGACCTCAGCTGAAAGCTGATCTATCTTTCCACAGTATTAATAAAATAAATTAATCTGACATATGGTTGTAGTGATAAAACAGGCTTTTGAATACAGTATTTTTCAACAGTGTAATATAATCCAATCAAATAAATGCAAAAATGAAAATGTACTAAGCCACTAGTGTGTCTAGGCTATTTTAATAAAACCACAGCAACGTGGAGATTATTTTATTTTTAAATTGTTGCAATTTTTAGTCTTGTTACACACAGAACTATTCCCATCCCCCCTACTCTTTCCCAGCTGGTCAAGTCACACTCAATTTCAGGATGTTGTTAATTAAGGCTCAATTATTTAGGAGGATAATTGCACATCTACAGATTCAAATGAATGTTCACTTGTTATGGCTTTCTGAACATTAATAATGATGCTCCTTATCAAATTAATGTGTGCCTGAGCTGTACCATTTCACATGAGAGCTCACAATGTTGAATGCCCTTACATATACACTATTTCCTCCTCATATAAAATTAAGTAAGATTTTATCCAAGGTTTCCTCTTGATATATTAACTGTCCAGGAGGAAATGGGAAGGCATTCAGTCAAATGACCTCCTGCCCCTACATAATTTGTTACTCTAGTAAAAATAAGGCCTAAAAGAACAATTGTACCTATTGTGCTTAATATATATTACACTAGAATTTAATGTTATTTCTAGACTCCAGATATGCCTCTAGATTCACATTGATCTGAAAACAAAAATGAAAAACCCTCTGCAGCATTAAAACTACACTTGCATGCAAGAACATTCAGAGTCTCACAATATCACTGAACTTTCAATTGTTCTGTGAACCATATGCAGCACTTTCCAATATGCAGTGTTGTTTCAAACCTTGGAAAAATCTATCCAAACCTTCTGTGGTGATCTGATCCAAAGATAATTTTAATTTTAAAGTCATACTGGAAGCACTGTACTGAACGCGAACACTGCAAATCTCCAGTTCATTAGTATCTACTTCTTCACTAAGCAATCACTAATAAATAAAAACTACAATGCTTCTTCCACAAGCAGGATACATAGTTCTTGTATCTGACTTCCCCTATGCAAATAATAAACACTCATACCTGGCATCAACTCTAGTATAGCCTTCATCAAGTGTCTGCCAGATGTTTTGGCCTATAACTCCCATCAGGAGCAGGCAATATGACCATAGTCAAGGACTAGGGGTGTTGTCGTTTGAGATGTCTGCTGGGTAAAGTCTGCTGTAGTGAAACCATATCACCTGGATGTACAGTATTTGGTGCTATAATTAAAATAACCAGACACAAACCCTCATTAAGTATCACATGCAAAACATTTCTGTAAAACCATCACAACTCCTGTGCTCATGTATCAACGGATTAGGGCACCATGGGTGAGTGCATGGTAATATTTTCTGACTTCATAACCACAGTTGCAGAATTTGGAGTTAGCTATATGATTACGTATTCACATCACTCCAGGGCCATGAACAAGCATTCTGTTGGCACAAACACAGATCATGAGAAGCAGTGAGAAGTGTGTGAGCAAAATGTGAAATCAGAAGCAGATTAAACATCCTGATGCATTCCAATTAGCAATAGCCATGGTCAATACTGCCAATGGCTCTCAAACATGATTTGGGACAATGGGAGAGGGCAGGGAGAATGCTGAGTATTATAAACAATCTGACAGCCCACTCTCTTAACAATTTCACAGAAATTTAGTTGTGAATGTAACAGTTTATATAATTATTGTATGCAACAGAAGGGAATGTAATGATAGGTTCTGAAGCAAGAAGAACATAATATGCATAATGGAAAAGGAACAAAGGTGTGACTAGCAACAAAATCTATACCTGAAAATGGCAAGCCCGAGAGATACAAGTCATCAAAAGGCGGGGGGGGGGGAAAGAGGAGAATTAGGTTGACTTTTAAAATCATAGTTAAAGGAAAAGCCACAGGGTTAAAGCAATGGTAGACAGTCACCAGAAGTCAGAGTGCTCCTGCTGCAACCCACATTCTTACCAAAAATTTCCTACAAAAAAAATGGGTGGTATTTTTCCCAACTGAGAAACTCTTGTGCCCCCTAGTGACCCTTAAAATTTTAAGGGGATGAGTGTAGGAAATTCCTTAAAACAGGACTAAATTTCCCCACACATCCACTAAACAGAATCAGAGACTTTCAGCTCACCTTAAAAAAAAATCAATTGGGGGATCGTGTGGCCCCATGGTAACAAGCAGCTGTATGTGGCCAATCCATTCAGCAATTTCATACATTTCTGTAAAAGACATACAGAAAAAATGATGAAAAATAAGCAGCACCTGTGTTTTTCAATTGCACATAAATATGTTCAAAAACGTAACACGTGCAAGCAAAAAAAGTGAATTTTGTAACCATAAAGAACTTCAAACTATTTACAGCTCACGAATCATATGAGGGATGTGTAGTGTTCATTCAAGTCTTTAAATTTGATTTGCAGTAATGGGATACCCACAACAGAGGGCATAATGGAAGAGGGAAGAAAACCAGTGGGTTGGACCAATAATTTCCTCACTTATAGAAACCAAAAGCCCATCTTGGGTGCACAATTTAAAATGCGGCAATGGAGTTTTAGCGTGTCAGAGAAGCCAAGAGCAATGCTGCCACTAAACTAGACTCAATTACTAGCCTGGACTCCTAGAAGGGGTACCAAAAGCTGAGGCACCAGACTAAGATGCATCTACCCTCTTCTGGAGTAACAGCCATACCAGCAGAAGACAATAGATAGCTCCAATGGTGATGACAGCAGAGAAATTCTGGAGGGCAGGAGCAACAGTGAAATGCTAGTGGAGGATCTTTCACAGACAATGGCAGTGACACTCAAACTAAATTTTATTAGCATTGTGCAGAAGGCAATGATAAACCACCGCTCAACTTATCCTGAAAAACCTATGATGAGATGCTGAAAAATGAAACCAGAGATACTGCTGGAAGATGAGATCCCCAGGTCAGAAGGTACTCAGTCTGCTACTGGGGAGAAGCAAAGACAAGCGCAAATAGCACTATCACTAATGATGCAACAAAATTAAATCCAAATGAATATCTGGAGGTTGATGTGTAGAGACGTGAAAGGAAAGTCCAATCCTGCATAATACATGTAATTCGAACATGGAATGTGACAAATATGAATAACAGCAAACTGAAAATTGTAAAGCAAGAAATGGAATATTTAAACACTGCAGTGCTTGGTGTCAGTGAAATAAAGTGGACTTGAATGGGACATTTTCAGCCAGACAACAAAAGACTATTATAATGACCAGAGCAAAGGAACAGAAGAGAACAACAAGAGGGAAAACAAGAGATGTCTTCCAGAAGATCCAAGAAATAAAAGGGAAAGTTAAAACAGTATACTGAAGACCTATAAAAAAAGAGATAAAAGGATAACAGATTCGTTTGAACAGGAATCCTATGATGAAGAACCATTATTCTAATTTCCCATATAAGCAAAGTGATGGTCAAGGTGAACAAAGGCTTTTACCATATATAGAAAAGCAAGAAATGTCTGATGTTCAAGCTGGATTCTGAAAAGAGGCACTCAAGATCATATTGCAAATATCCACTAGCTGCTGAATCACACCATAGATTTTCATAAGATCAGTATGTCCTTCATAGACTACAGCAAAGTCCTTGATTTTGAAAAGCAATGGCTTATTATAAAAGAAATGGGTGTCCTTCAGCATTTGATTGTTCTGATGTGTAACTTGTCATGTGGACAAGAAGCTATTTTTAGGACAGAATACAGAGACACAGAATGGTTTACGTACTATAGGCAATGGTATCAGACAACTATTTAATTTACTGTCTTATCTGTTCAAACTGTACGCAGAATATATATGAAAACCTGGACTCAATTCAAATGCAGGAGGAGTGAAAACTGGTGAAAGAAACATCAATAATTTAAAATATATAGATGACACAATCTTATTGACAGCAATGACTTGAAACTACTGATAGGGAAAGTAAAAGAAGAAAGTGTCAAAGCAGGATTGTAGTTGAACATGATGAAGACAAAAATATGACTACAGAATAACTACGTAACTTTAATGTTAACAATAAGGAAACTGAAGTTGTTAAAGATTCTGTATATCTTAGCTCAATCATCAATGAAAATGGAGCTCGCAGTGAAGAAATCAGAAGACTGAGACTTGGAAGGGCCACAATGAATTAAAAAAGATCATCAAGTGTAAAGATGTGTAATTGGAGACCAAGAACAAGATTATCCACATTCTTGTATCCCCAATCACTATATATGGGTTTGAAAGCCAGACAGTGAAGCTGACAGGAAAAAAATTGACTCACTTGAAATATGGTGCTGGAGGAGAGCTTTGTGGATAACCTGGGCTGCCAGAAAGATGAACATGTCTGAACTATCTAAAGAAGCAAAAATGATGAAACTGAGGCTGTCATACTTTCAACACATCATGAGAAGGTAAGATTCACTAGAAAAAAACAATAATTTTGGGAAAATTAAAGGAAAAAACGAAGACCTAATACAAGATGGATTGACTTCAAGAAACCACAGTCTTGTGTATATGAGAGGTGGGCAGGGATGGTGAGGACAAGACATTTGGATATTGCTCATTCACAGGTGACTTTATAGCACTTAACAATAACAGAAACTGTATGTCTACTTATCCCTTCCCCTAGGGTTATCATAAGTCACAGGTGACTTTATAGCACTTAACAACAATAGAAACTGTATGTCTACTTATCCCTTCCCCCACTTTTCCTTCTCTAAACTCCACTCGCAACAGGTTCCCTCAGCCTATTTCCAAACAATACCTGTGACGGACAGGTCAGGGACCACTCCTGTCCATCACAATAGAACCTTGACAGATCAACCAATGGGTGAACAGAAGAGGAGGAACTAAGGATATTTAAGAGAATGGATGACAATTAGTGAGCAATTAGAGATATGAGAGTTAGAGAGGACTTCAGTCAGGGATGAAGCAGAGACCTCAGTTAAAGAGAAGAAGTTAGGCAGTTAGGACCAGTCTTGTGTTAGTGAAGAGTAATAGAGAGAGAGGGAAAGAAATGAATAAATGAATAAATAAATGAATAAATGAATAAATACTTGTATCAACATGATTCTGCGTAAGCAAATATAACTGTTACTAAAGCACAGTTGATTGATTAAATGAAATAAGTCCATCCATGATTTACTTTATATGATTTACTTATGAACACTTTAATAAACTTTGTTTGATTGAATAACACTGATTTAAGAATCATATCTGATGCATCGAGGAGAGACTGCTCTGGTGGAAGCGGAAAGGGTTGAAAATTAAATGTCACACCTGAAAGTGAACCTGGGTTGTGGAGAGAAACAAACAGGGGAACTGGGTTCGTGACAATACCTCAGCCTCCTGAGCTTCAATCCATCCCGCTTAGGAGGGTTTCCATTTCTGGTAGAGGTTCTTCAGCCTGGTATGGGGAGAAAGAGGGTGCTGCCCACTACCACATGGCAGATCTTTTAAATAAATCAATAGCATATAGAAATGAGAAATATTTAAGATGAAAATAGGGAGAAGGTCAGGGAAAAAGTCCGAAAAGGGAATCAACCAATGATCTAAAAAGAGTTTCCGAAGGGAGTAATGTGCTGGACATCTAAATACAGTAAATATGATCTAATGTATCAGGCAGCAAGTGACAGAAAAGGTGATTTAGGATATTTGTTTTGACAAATTTAACTCTGAATTTAGTTTGGCAGTCAGATCAGAAATATTATCTGTATTTTTTCAGTGTTATTTTTAATGGTAAGAGTGTGAAACAGAATCAGCACTGACAGTCTAGTTAAAAGAGAAAATAGACAACACAAAATAACAATCTTGGAACCACTATTTTGCATTATAAATCATTGGGCAAAATGCTATTGGCATAACTTTTGCTTTTAGGGATTTTGGAGAAGCGGCCATAATGCATGGCCAACAGGAAGATGTTAAACGGGCTAGCATAAAAGCCCTCTGCAGTGTAGAATTAACCAGTACGTTGAAATAATTTGAAGGATATTCTAAAGAAGGAGATATACCGGAACAATTTGGAGAGCAAGAGGGATTGAGAAGATATTTTAGGTGTCCATACTCCCATTGATATAGCTTGGCCTTAATATGAGAGTGGGCAACAGATAATTCCAAATCAAAAAGTGATTCTAATGGGATATCTATAGATAACAATTTAGAATGGATAAGTTGTATCCATTTAGGGGAGTAAAGATCTTTTAACAAAGCATATAGTAACGGATCCGGGAATCTAGTTAAAAACAAGCGAAGCCAATATTTAAAAGTAACAGTCCAAGCCAGAGTTGAAGGGAGATGAGTCCCTAATTCAAGTAGAATAGAGGCAAGTCGTATGGAATTTGGGGGACCAAGTAGCCTCCTAAAGAAGGAGGCCGCTAAGCGGTCGAGGTCAGAGTGGGCAGATGCAATCCAAACAGGAACTTCACATAATAATTGTGAGAGAATTTTAGTTTGGAATATATGGAGAGCAGCTGGAACAAACTGATTGCCAGCAGAAAAGTGGAACTTGGTGATTGCCTTTGAAATGTGGATTGCCTCATTGCCTCTGAGATGTGGATGAAATGACAGCTTTTTAAGAGCAACCAGTTTAATTGGTAATTTGGAGGAGTCCTAAATACTTAAAGGTTTGTACTTGATGATAGGAGTGGGGGCCAACTGAACAGAGAGAGGGGGACCAACGTTTAGAGAAAACCATAATTTTTGTTTTGTCTGAATTGATAGTAAGATAATTTAACAAGCGGATTGTTGTAAATACTGTGAAGTCTCGACTTACGTGTGGCTCCACTTACGAACTTTTATACCTATGGACTTCTCTGGCCGCAAAGTTTCACTTTGACTTGCAGCTGGAAAATTGACCTACGGACCAGTAGGGGGAGGCAGGGAATTCAAAATTGACCAACGGACCAGTAGGGGGAGGCAGGGAATTCAAATTTGGCGCTTTCCCCGCCTCCCCCTTCCAGTCCGTAGGCTGCAGGTCATGCCCGCTGTCAGCTTTGAGCTTTCTAAGCCCCAAAAGCCAAAGTTGACAGCGGGCGCAGAGCGGCTTCGGGCTTTCCGGCTTCCAAAGCTGCAAGCCAAAAGCCGCTCTGTGCCTACTGTCAGCTTTCAGGGCTTAGAAAGCTGGACCCACCTCTTGCCTCCTGTCCCCGGTGCCCTCTGGGAAAAGGCGCTCTGCGCCCGGCGGGCATGGGAAGCAGAGGACAGCGGGGACAGAAGGCAGAGG